ATTCCTTCTGTGTCTCCAGTAGGTGGGGCACTTGCTAATCCTGCTTTGTAAAAATGAATGAAGGAATAAATAGACAAGTGTAACCCAAGCAATGTGCTTAAATCAGATGAAACAGTTTGTTCTCTGCCTAGCTGGTATCCGTGGCTCACCTTCAGAATGTGTGCTCTTCAGATCATCTGCGCCAGAATCTTTTAGGTGTGTTCTCAGAATGCTATTTCTAAGCCCCAAGCCTGCACCTGTAGAAAGAAACTTTCAGGAATGCAGCCTGGGATGTGGAATTGGTGACTCTCGCGTGAGCTACTCTTTTTGTAAATGTCTATTGGTCAGCGTTTTGTCATTCTGCCAAAATGCTTGAGGAAAACAACTAAAGAGAAGAAAGGTTTGTTTTAGCTTAGAGTGCCCAGAGGTTTGGGCTCTGCTGCCTTGGGTCTGAGTTAAGGGCTGGAGCATGTGGCAGGGATTGATCTCTCACTGTTTGGTGAGTAGGAAGCTGAGAGAGAACGTGAGCAGCCAGGGCAAGCTATGCTGTTCAAGGAAAGGCCCAAAGTGACTTACTTTCTCTAGAAGGCAGGAAGTGGCAAATGTATTGGTGGACTAATACAATCCTTAGGTCAGAGCCCTCATAGTCCAGTAGCCTCTCAGCCATTGCATCAGCCAGATGGCTACCAAGACTTTCACACACAAACCTTTGGAGCATTTAGGATCTCAATAGACCCTCAAGCCCAGGTTCATATCACTCAGAGATCCTGGCTAGACACACTGCCAGTCAAACTCATCCTTATTGACAACGATGGTGGGCATTGTGCTTTGACATGTCTTTGGACTAGTGGTATGTTTCACAGTATACTGGAGCAGGTAACAGTGTCAAAGTCAAAGTCACTCTTTCCACCTGGTCCTAGAGCCTGCCAAGAAAGGAGGGAGGCTTAACTTAGCTGCTTACCGTGGAAGTGGCACAGCCTGGCAGGCAGAGGGCGTTCCTGCTCCTTGTCTCAGAGAGAGACGTTCTTAAAGAGAGCCGGCACTGTGCCTCTTTGTGTTATTGCTGTGTTGATGGAATCAAACAAGCAGAACGTCCACATTGCTTTAGGATTCTCTTTTCTCACTGCTGGTGTGACTGATGATTTAGGTACCTGTCATGCACTTAGAGAAAGTAGATACCAGAGTTCATGGCAATCAACACAAATAGGAGTTTTGCAGCCTGTTCCCTTTTTGGTAGTTTTAATTTAGTTTCTTTTTTTCCTCAGCAATCTTTTTTTTTTTAATAGGCTATATAATCAAACTCTCATACCTTAAGTTGCTGTGTCAATGGATTAAACAACCGCCTGTGAATTAAAAACAATTTTTTTTAAGTACTGTGTCTGTACTAAGCTCTTGCAGGCTCCAATCCCTCCATTCTTCCTTAGACAATAGGGTGCAGCAGTGCAGACAGTTCTGGCATTATATTAACTATTATAAATCATCTAAAGAAGCTTTAAATCAATAGGGGAGATGGAAAGGACTCAAGTGTCTGTGGAACTTGGTAGCAGTGGACAGAGGTTGTGGAAGCATCTCCAAGGTTACCAAGGGAGGATTGTACCTGATCCATTTGCTAGTCCTAATAGCATGTGCTGAGAACTCAAGAAGGGTCACACACAGAAGAGAGAGGGTAGACACATGGGCAGCTCCGGTGACGGCTGCCTCCAGGGACCTCTCCAGGCCTCGGCTTTCCACCTAGGAACTTGAGTGTGACAGCAGAGTAGAGACTAACGGTGCCACAGGCAGATCCCAGAGATGTGTGGTCGACCTTGCCCTTCCTAGACACACCTCTGAGGCCTTGCTCTGGGGCCATGTGTTCTAGTGAGCTGCCACTCAGTGATTCCTGCTGCTGTTGTCCTTCGCAGTTCATCTCTAGGCTCTCTAGCTTTCCAGACAACCTGTTGGTCGTGGTCCGCAGCTGGAGGTGTATTTACTTTTTTAGTTATCCACCCACTGGGAATGGCCATATATCATCTAGCAGGTCTTTAAAAAGTTCTCCTGGATAAGCAAAACTTCCCTTGTCTGGAGTGATCAATAGTGTCAAGGCATGAGGGACTTCTCAGTCATGAGTAAACACGGATGGGGCCCTCCCAGGGCTCATTTAAATGGAAGAGCAGGTAATAGTTCACTTGGGCTCATTTTCTAGTTTTTAAAATGCCATTTCTTTTCTAGCAGGATCAATTTTTAAGCTATTAACCCACTCTCTTTACATTTTTCTTGTGGTTTGGTTTATTCTAGTTGTTACTTAAGCCTCCCCAAAGGGAAGCATCAGATCAGATCTTGGCATGTGCCCCACTGCAAGAACTGTGGAGGTTTTAATGGAGGTGGTACTGAGGGGAGGGGAAGAGATTCTGGGATTGCCTAGGCCAGCCTTGGTACTGTGGCTTTGCATTTCACCTTATGAACTTGAGGGTGGAACCTTTGATTTTCAACTGTAAAAGATACAAGAAAAAAAAGTTTAAATGGTTTGGAGTAACTCTCTGTTATCCGTTTGTATTGTGAGACTATACTAAAGGACTTGAGGCTTGGCTGCTTTATAAAGAAAAGAGGTTTCTTTAGGATTATGGTTAGCACCCTCCTAACAATGCTGGAAAGGCATAAATTTAGTGCCGATCTGCAAGGGAGCAATTGGCAATAGCTGTGAGGATTGAAAACACACCCACCCTGGGCCTCCAGTCTTCCTAGAACTTTATTCCTCAGCTGTATCCGTCAATTCAAAGTGACATGTGCAGTAGGAGGGTGGAGGTGGCTGTCGCAGCACTGTGCATGCCAAGCATTTGAAAGCAAGTGACTCCATGAAAGACTGGTCAAACACGCTGCGTGGGACTTGTCTGCAGCCATTAGTGAAAGTCAGACAAGTCGACAAGAGGCAGTTAGGAGGAGCTCTGCAGTGGGCTGCTCAGGGAGAAGACTAGCCTTAGCAAGGTAACTGGAAATATGGTGCTTGTGTAAAGACAAGGCATTCAGAAGACCATCAGGGGCAACAGGCATTCCCTGATTCCCGCCCTGGTTCCCCTCTCGCCCTTATAAACGCACTGTAGGATGAAACACCCTCACACCACAGTGCACTGAATTCACCAAACAGAAAACTGATTGGATCTATTATAAAGCCAGACCTGCCTTTCCCAGAGGCCTCACCAACTCAGGCTGTGACAGTTGAACTGAGCCTCAGCATGGGTTTGGCTGAAATGGACCACAATCCTAATGATTGTAGTAAGATTTTTACTTACTTCTCTAGTTTTGGAGATATGGTTTTCATTTGCAGTCCAGGCTGGCTTCAAACAATCCTCTCAACTAATTCTTCTGGCTTAGCCTCTCAAGTAGCTGGGTGTATAGGTGCATGCCTCATTCAGCCCTTAGATCACCCTTACACTCCCCCACACACACACTTACACACACATACACGCACATGCAGACAAACACACACACATCCCTTCCTTGCCTCTGACTTTAGCACTGGCATTTATAGGTATATGCCACATTCAGCCTTTGGGTCCATCTCTCTCAGCCACTCCTGCTCCTTCACACTTGAGTGCTGGCATTACAAGCCTGTGCCACCACTGCCTTTCAGTTCTGCATTTGTAAGGATGAAATATTTTGAGAAAATATCGACCTTGGCCTTATTCTTAGTCTCTTTAGTTTTCATTCATCAGTTATCCATTCATGCTGGAATCTGAGTCATTGTCACAGGTCAGAATCCTTAGAAAACCAGCGAGGATCTCCCCGTAGATATGTTCTCAGGAAGTGTTTAGGAGTGGGAAAGTCAGAGCTGGCTTGGTACAGTTGTGGTACAAAACGATCACACCCAAGCATTGGCTCAGAGTGGAGGCAAAAGGCTCCGAGCCTTCTAACTCCATGCTGACCTGTGACTAAGGGCAGGTTGTCGCTGGGGGAGAATATGATCCTGACCCAGGTGCTGCCTGTCAGTGAAGCAGTGTGGGCTGCGGTCCAGGAGCAAGAGTCGGCGTGGACAGCGAGCACCCTGTACCCACATTTGCCTTGGCTTTACAGAGAGAGCAGTACCAGGCTTGCATTTGTTCTGAACATACCTGTGCTCAGCTACTTGTTGGCCATTACCAGCTGGTCCCTGAAAAAAATGTTTGTCCCCAGTAAAACTTGTCTCATTATGAACTGGGGGTACTTTGTTTGTTATGGAGCTTTGTAATGGGAGGGAAGGACTTTGACATGCTTAGGAACCACATCGGTCAGTCCCAACTGATGTATAAAACACTTTCCAGCATAGGGCTTAGGGAACACGGCAGAAGAAGGGGGCAGAGAGACTGCAAGATCCAGGACATTTGTTGTGAGATGTATCTCCTAGAAATACCGAGGCTATCCCCAGAAAGTTCACTAGCATGACCACCCAGACATGAGCTGAACAAAGACAAGAGCAATAGACACGCTGATGTGGATAGGAGAAAGCACAAAAGGACTTATTCCTACACAAAGAACTGCAGACAACTAGGAAGTGCTGAGAGAAGGAGAAATCGTCTTCCCAGGGAAGAGCACAGCAACTGGTTATCCAATACCAAATGGTCAGCCCCAAATACATACATATGAGTAACATTATACGGACAGAGTGTGCACATATGTGTCTCTGTGTCTGTGTGTGACAACAATTAATGGCAACAGAGGGTTTGAATTAAAAAAAAATAAGGAGGGATATAGCAGAGGATTTGGAGGGAGGAAAAGAAAGGGAGAAATGTTATAATTTTCATCTCAAAAGATCTATATAGTTTTAAAAATGTCATCCAGATGGCTTGACCAAGGTGGTTGTGTCCACGGGTAGATTCAAAACTACACAGGGTATAAATGAGCCACATGGCTTGTGGTTGGGATACTGTGGCCTGTCATTCTTGCCAGTCACTACCACTGTCACTTCTAAATGTCCTGTGAGTGGCTGGTCCTTGGCCCCGTCCTTCACAAGAGCCATGGGCATGTTTCCCATGCATACCGTCTGACTCTGGCACCCTCTCTTCCTCCAGGTGTCTCAGAAGCTCCCCCTGGTGATCGTGCAGGGGCACCTGGTCTCAGAAGGGATCCTGCTCTTCGGCCAGCAGCACTTCTATATCTGTGAGAACTTCACTCTTTCCCCCACGGGTGATGTCTACTGCACCCGCCACTGCTTATCCAAGTGAGTTCTCCTTTCCCCTGGCGGATTCCTCCGAGCCCTGCCCCCTTCCCGTTCCCTCTCTTCCCCTGTCTACTGTTTACTGTGGGCTTAGAGACACGGGATGAAAGAGAAGCCATGGCTGTATGGCTGTGACTCTCCAAAGCCAGCCTCCGGGCTGGGTAAAACATGGCAGCTCTGAATGGCTTCCTACCAGGCATTGTGCCACAGCACTTGGGGACCTGTCCTGAGGTTATTTGGATAACAGGCTTCACCCATCTCAGGGTACACATTCAACAACCGAGACAGTGGCTGCTGTCCATAGGCAATACAGACAGGCTTCTTGGAAAAGAGGTTGGAACACACTACCATTCTAGAACAAAATATATATGATGGGGTGGGGGGTGTGGAGGGCACTTTCGTGACCATGGTTGGGAGACATCCTGACATTGATGTGATAAGGGAGAGCTGCCTGAGGATGTGGCTAAGCTCTCACAATGAGCGAGATTTGGATTGCACTTTCTGAGCCACTATCTGGCTCGGGTGGCACATGTGTTACACCAACACTCAGGAGGCTGAGGCAGAAAGATGGCAACCTGGAGGCCAGCAAGGGCTATAGGTTAGAGTCTTATCTCAAGAAAACAACGCAAAACAACCAAATGAGGAAAGACACCAGGTTTCCCACCTTTACCCCAACTAGTAGCAGACATCATCAACAGGAAATCTTAAGGCCACTCTGTAGTGACAAATCTTTGGTTTTTGAGGGTTCAGCTATCTCCTACTGACTACTCTGTGCTCATGAAGGAAAACCACTCAAAGTCAAACTTACGGCTTTTTGAAATTTGTCGAGTTGTGTGTTTTCTCATGGTCCTTGCTCTTAAGAGATGGAGAGTTTTTTGTTATTGTTGTTGTTTTCACTGTGGTCTGCAAAGGTTCCTGGGTTGACAGAGCAACTTCTTAGCCTGGTGACTTTTAAAGTGGCTTACTCCAGAGTCACCCAGAGGGATCATTAGAACACAGACTTCTGGGCTCTGTCCTTTCTCTGGTTTCTAATACAGTATGTCCGGGAGTATCTGATATTTTGCCAGCTCCTGGCTCAGGCTGATTCTACTAGTCACCAGGGACCAGACTTTGAAAACCCTTGTTTTTGGATGTTGGCAAAGCAGTCAGTCTTGACCTCTCAATAGCAAGAACTGTAACTCCCAGCCGTCGTGATTCCCAGCTTGTGTCAGGAAGCCAGAGCTAAAGGGGATGCAGAAGAGTGCATGCCAGCCCACCCTATTTACATTAGTGTTAAAATTTGCTTTTTTATACTTACTAATGTCCTCTCTGATAATTTCCATCTTTTATTCATACCAAAACCTCTCCCATTGCTCCAAGTCTTTGATGATTTTCCAAAGCTGGAGGAGCATAATTAATACTTGGCACACTCATCTCATCTTCTTGCTCATGTTTTATTGATAGTGATCAATACGGACAGTGGGTCTGCAGGCTGGCCTCTCTATGCTGATGGAAGCTCTCTGCTCTTTCTAGTTGCTCAGCATGCCCATGTAATGACATGCACAACCCGTTGCTTCAGGCTTCACCTAGGCTTGGATTGAACTGGCCTTAGATAAGATACTATTGATCAGTTACACTTTGTTTTCATCATCAAGTTGTCTATCTCTGTGCTTGTAATAGAAGCCCCGTGGTCGGGCATTTGATTTCTAATGGCAAGAGTGACTTCCCATGTCTGGAAACATGCATTTCTAGACTCCAGGTAGAGTGCAAACAATTTGGGATGTTTGCAGGGAATTGCCGAGGTATTTCTAGTCACCCCAAGAACCCCCACTACCACCACCACTGCCCCAGGTCTCGTCTATGGCCTGAGAAAATGCTGTTATTACTAGAAAAGCAGCTCTCCCAGCCAGGCTCACAGATCATATCAGATCAATGGGGATTAGGCCTTATTTTGACCATGGAGACTAAGGAAGATACAGAAATAAGCCTGTTAAAAATAAAGCAGGGTCAAACTTGAAATGCTTCTTTAAAAGCCATCAAGTTGAGCACTGCGGGGCATTAGACCTTGGAAGAGGCTCGCTGATGCACCACAAAAATATCCCCCAATAAAGCCCCAGAACACTGTGGATGCCCCATCAGTGACTGGACTCAGGCATGTTCTGCTGAGGTGAAGAAGCTCTGAGAGGTTGGGCTCCTTCTTATACTGGTTTCCCTTCGGAATGGTTAGTGGCTGCATTCGTTTATCTGGGCTGTTAAGAATTAGGTGACCCAAAAGAACCACAGAATTTTATAGCTAAGCAGCCTTATAATCTAAAAGGATGAATCAAGGTGTCAGCAGGAACCCACTGTCTCAGCTGCTCAAGAAGGAAAACCTCCTCTCCCCTTAGCTTCTGTTGTCTGGGCAACCTTTGGAACTCCTTGAATTGTACATAGACATATCACTCCAGCTACAAAGCTGTCTTTTGTCTCATGTCTTCACAGATCTCCCCTTTTATGAAGTCATCAATTGTATTGGATTAGAACCCACTCTGGTGACTTTGACTTGATGGCTTCTCTAAATGCCCCATGTTCAAACAAAGTCCCACTCTGACATAAACATAACACTTTAGGGAGTCATAATTTTACCTTAAACAGTATCATCCACCTGAACCTTCCAGGTCAGGTATGGAACCCGTTACTCTTTCCATGTCTGTGAGCAGAGTTGGGCATCATTTATCTGTTGAATTCAATTCTGCAAAGTCACTAAACATCCATAGTGTGTGTGGCATCGTGGTGGCTCCACAGAAACAAAGATATGAAGAGTATAGATCCCTGAGATTACTGTCACAAACTTTCAGCATCATTCTGACAAAATTTAGTGACCTCAAATAGGGGCAAACTGCAGTATATTTTATTTTGAAACCTACCTCATCTGTCAAAGAGCAAGCCAGTCAGTGTCACGACCATCATTTACCTGACATAGTGGATTTCTCTAATGTAACTATTAAAAGCTATACTGAGGTCACTCTAGCCAATTTCATATGCCAAGATGGCTGCTTGACATATGAAGTAGAACAGCATCCTGTGAACTGTAACAACAGGTCCACCTAACGATAAACAGGGACCAATCTGTTCCTTTTTTCCCACTCACCCTGGATGTCTCAGCATTGATTTATTGAGCATGATATATAAGATGCATGGTTATCCAAAGCACCCAGTGACACCTATATGAATACTGCATGTGACCGACTTCAACCTGGACTTGTAGCGGTGAACTCAACAATGGACATACTTTAACTTTTCTGAGGATCCGTGTCTGCCCATTCTGTCCTATATAAATGGTTATGCAGCTCCTACAAGCATGAGGGAAATGTTTCTTTCTTTTCTCCCCATGTCCCCAAGTTCCAGGACACTTTTTCTTCAGGTTGCCAACGTTTCACAGGTGTCGGTTGTAGAATCATAGCGTGGGGTAAGCTGAAAGGTGGGAAGCTGTGGAGGAGCTCTGCAAACACTCTGAGGTGGCCTTGCTGTCTCCAAGGACACTACTGAATGAGCATGGGTTTAAGAATCAAGAGGACCTAGGTTTGAATGCAATAACAAAATGCAACCTTAGGGGAAGTGTCACCTCCCAAAAGCAGCTTCCAGGCTTATAACTGGAAAAGACCATGGTGCATGTTCAGGGGAGACTCATCTAGGATCAGAACAAACACTGGGCAGGGAAGTACTGAGCAGCTAGGGTGCATGACAATCACTTAACAAGCATGCACAGGGCTGAGGGGAAGAGGAGGGCACAGAAGCTGTGAGCAAAGGCCTCTACTTTTGTCAGTGCTGCACAGGAGCTGCTGACCAGCTCTGTGGTGAAGCTAAGGTGCAGAGTGTTTTCTGTGGGTTTCATATCAGGGGTCTATGAGGCACAGAAAAGATTAACAGTTGTCATTCCCACCAGAGCTTCGTCTAGATGATGTTTGGCTTAAGCAAAGGGTGGGAGGTGTGGTTATCACCCTTGCCTCGCCTCTCTGAAAGTCAGAAATATTTAGAAACAGCTCAACTTAGACCCAGCAGCGGCTTTGGTAATGCACAAGGAGTCTCAGTCAGAAATAGCTTCCTGGCCAAGGCTTCCAAAACAAAAACCACATTTTCTTTTTGTTTAGCCCTACAGCAGTGTGGCTCTGACCAGAGGGTCCAGGAAGGCTGCTCTGAGGAGGGCCAGGAGGGGTTGCAAAGAGCCTGAGTTTGCATCTTTAACGATAACTGCATAAGGGGTACCCAAAGAGTCCTGAGTTCCACCTTGTCCTACAGGGACCTTCAACTAGACATGAAGGTTTAAGCTCTTCATAATATGGAACCTAGACCACCACTGGCTAGAGTGGAAACTTCCACTGGGTGTGTGACAGCCTGACCACTCTCAGCTACAGAATTGTTGCATAGCGATCTCATGGGTTCCTCTAGGGGCTAGAATCAGGAGGTAACCCCCATATCTCCACCTTGGCCAGGGTTCCTTCACCTCTGGCCTCACTAGGCCTGTGATCAGAACATGAATTCCTTTAGCATCGATGTGTTGGGGCAGGTATCATTTATCTTAAAGGGAAATTTTATCAGAATGGTCAGAAAGTTTGCAGCAGTCTACACACAGTTTAAGATAAAAATAAAATCTAAATAAATGCAAATAACCTGGCCATGTGGCCTAGCTATTCAGAAATGGATCTGGCTAAGAGGGAAGTTAACTTTATTTCACAACGAAGTGGGTGCTGAAAACACCCAGCTCACCTCAAGGTGCACTGGTGTCTCAAGAACACAGAATGGTCACTACTTTGAGAAGAAGTGTTTGTACAGATCTGAGGTTCTCTTCCCTCTCTACTTGCTTCAAAATAGGCAGGCTCATTCTGACCCTTTCCATGGAAAGCCTCCTGAGATCCCTGTGTGATCCTATTCCTGGGCTACCTTCTGTGTCCTAGAGACTCCATGTCACATGAGGTGGTACTCCAGTTACATGTGTCATGGCTCTGCTCTTTGGCAGGATGCTGGTTGGCCCTCTAAGGCCTAGCTTTTGAGAATTTAGGAGGCTATCAATCCCATTATCTCAACCAAGCCTGTACCTTGCAAACCAAGTGAGTCCCAGCATCCAAGGAGTTCTTTCTGAGATGTCTTACACCATGTCTTTATCAGTGGATCTTTATCTCATGACACATTCAACAACTCTGGGCGGTCTATCTGAAGAGCTCCCAGGGTCACTACTGACGCAAGATTGGGGAGAAATGGGTCTAAGGTACCAAATAGCCATGTGATGTAACAAATTTTTAGACCTCTGAACCCAGGGAGTTTTCTCACATACACAGCTCTGCACCCTGGATCACCATGACTCTGCCCCAATGACACTAGTACTCTGCCTACTCTTCAAGGGCAGAGCAGAATAGGTGTGAAGCACTCAGCCTTTCAGGTCATCAGAGGCCAACAGAACAGTTGGCACAATTGTAGCCCTCCTCCAGTGTCCCCCTGAAGCTGTGGGTCCAGGAGACGAGCCTATCAGCACTTTCTCCTATGGGTGTCCACACGGGTGTATCTTGCTTCCTTTTCAGCATCAGCGATCCCTTCATTTTCAACATGTGCAGCAAAGACAGGTCCTCTGACCAGTACTCCTGCCAGCGCCATGCCTACGGCGACCTCAGAGAGCTCCGGCAGGCACGCTTTCTCTTGCAGGTTAGTTGAGGGGCTCTGACCCCACCCAGGGTGTAAGGAGAGGGTTGATTATCATGACAGAGGTGAACCAGGTGTCATCAGAGGCACCTCTCTGTGATCCCCCATGTCTGCTACATACAGCCCAGGACTCTTGTGGAGAAACGACGAGCATCATTTCCCTGGGCATGCTCCGCGGCAACCTCAACAGGCTCTCTGCCCAGACCATTAACTGCTGGGCTGTTCTTGCTCACTGGCTCTTATAAGAATCAGCATCTTCTCCCCATTCCTTGCAGAAATGCGCTAATATGGATAATGCTTCTAATCAGGTTTAAGAAGAATGTCAAAACATGATTTTAAGAATTTGGGACATCACGGAATGCTGATGATCCAGAGGCATCCTGAACACACGTCACCAGTCCCCACTCCTGACTTCCCCCGGAACTTGCCTAGCTCTGAACTTATTATCTCCCAGGTCAAACGATTTAGGGACCTGATGACTGTCCCCTCTGATACGTCTTCCAGAACCTCCCCACTGACCACGAAGGCTTCCTATGTGCTAAACAGAGGTGGAAGCTGCTGCAAGAGAGTGAGTTCAGCCATGAGCTCCTGCGCCACTTTCTGCATAGATTCGAAAGTGTCACCTGCAGCATGAGCAGGAGGAAGAACTCTGGGTCCTAGTGCCTACATCCCAACTTATCTCCATCAGTCTGACTTCACCGAGGGCAAGGCTGCCGCACTAAGGCCTTCAAGGCAGCTTCAGGACACAGGGAGATGAGAGCCTAGAACAAGGAGGCGGCCAGGGTTCATCCCTCTCTACAGGTTCTGCGATAGTTCCCAAGGACAGAAAGGGGCACTGTTTAACTTGGAAGAATCTAATAAGGGATCCTTGGATTTGTGGCTTCATTTGCGGGTGTGTGGAACACTTCAATTCCTCATGTAATCCTCCTGCAGCAACGTCATTATCCTCTAAATCTAAAGCTCAGAGAGACATTTCAAGGGAGTAAATTCTAGGGAGTTCCAGCTACCCTGCAGACCATGGTCTACTCAGTCCTTTTCCTCCATCGTTGCTACTTTTGCCTGATATTTTGATTCTTACTGTTTTTCCTGACTCTGAGCTCTCTTCAAAAGGAGAGAACGGAGTGAGACAGGGAATGGAAGAAGTCCCCTCCAGGAAGATCCCAGGCATTGTGGCTGGTCCATGGCTTCATCCCCGTTATGGTTCCCTTGATCGCTTCTCCAGGCCACCTCACCCTCTAGTCCCAGGCAGCCGTGCCTACCCCTTCCTACACTGTACATACAGCACTGAGCACATGTCAGGCACACAGTCTGTGCCTGGTCCTTTCCTAGGCTCTTATGCTTGTCCTGCAGGTTATACACACAGCTTGGTGTCATCGTGAATGTGTTTCCTTCTTCCCAGGAATTAGTGGTTGCTTCCAGGTGGTTGTCTTTTGGATGGTGTGGAAGTCAGAAGTGGGAGAGCATCTGTGTCTCCAAGAGGCAGGATGTCTGAGGGAGAAACATTTATTATCCAGTTCTGGGTTCTCCCAGGAGAGTTAGAGCCTGCCACTGAGGGGATCTGGGTAAGCTGGGTAAACTCTAGGGACTGGATTCTGCTGCCTCATCATTCTCTCTACAGAGAAAAGCAACTCATATTCTTGTACATCTTGGTAGAAAAGAACTTAAGGTGCCCACATAAATACCCCTCCTGCCAGGATAACCAGGCTGGGAGAACTTGCTGACCTCCAGGAGAAGCAGGTCGTACTTGGGGCTGGTTGCATAACCCCGGACCCAAGGCTGATGCTTGACCCTTCATGTCCAGGCTTCTGTCACCCTGGCTTTCTCTTCAGTCCTGGGAATTCTCCCCCTGCCCTGATGCGTGTCATCCCTATGGCTCATCCCACATCGGGAATTGTGGTATCCCTTATTCCAAGTCTGTTATATGCGTAGCTTGGAATAGACGGAAGAGAGAGAGAGAGAGAGAGAGAGAGAGAGAAGGAGGAAGAAAAGGAAACAACCAAAGAAAAGCAAGAAAATCATGTAGAGTTTATTCAGGCATTGCGGTGTGGCCACATCAGGATGTCTCAGCAACATGCGTTTGAGAAGCACCTCCGTGTTCTGTGTCTACAGACGAATTTGCCATGGGCTAGGTGGAGAGTCATCCCTACACCATAACTTCCGGGGATTTCTGGTGAGGTGATCTCTACTTTAGGAAACCAAGCCCATGACCAAGAAATGTTATGGAACTCGAGTGTGCAACTCAGCATGCTCTCCCTTTGCCTGCACTTCACCCATCCCGCAAATGAAGCCTTCACTTCCTGTCTCCCCTGCAGACGTCATCTGTGGCAGCATCCACTGACCCGAGCCCCACTCACCCATCACCCTAGGTTCGGCTAGAGAGAGGTTCACACTAACCACAAAGGCTTCCTACCACAGTGACCCCCTTGGGAAGCCGCCACCCCCGCCCTCACCCAGGGGTGCCTCTGTTCTGGGAGGCATCATTCATAATGACGTGGTTTCTCTGTCCAGGATATTGCCCTGGAGATCTTCTTCCAGAATGGGTATTCCAGGCTCCTCGTCTTCTACAACAATGACCGGAGTAAAGCTTTCAAAATGTAAGGACTGAGAAATTCTCATTTCAAATAAATGTTCTTAAACCCTTAACACACAGAGATTTCCCAGCTCTACTCTGAGGAAAAGTGTTTGCATAACCCATAGCAAGCAGAACTTAGGTGAAGTACAGGAAGAACTTTCAGACTTTTGGGACAATGTACAAACAAGTGACTGAAGGGAGAAAGCCATGCAGAGGCAGGCTCTTTAAGAAGCTGGCATGTAATGGACCTGCCAGAATATTTTGGCTGTATTTTCTAACTTTCCAAGTCTTTTTTTTTTTTTTTGGCTTAATATTTCTATTGGATTCCAATTGCCAATTTTAGGCATCCCAATTTCATATTTCAGTGGAAAGAACTCCAAGCCTAAGTGTCTTTTCTAAGAGAAGCCTGCTGTTTCACTTCAGCCCCTTCTCCGTGTAGATGAATCAATCTCAGCAATGACAGTGTCTGAATTTCTAATATGCAAAGTTATTTATTTCTATTGTTACTGAAGCCACAGAGAAATGGACAGATCTGTGGAAAAACTAGGCAGAGACAAGGGCAGGGTCTTGGTCACCAGCCGAGCACACGAGGTGGAGGAGCAGGTGACCTCTGACCCCCTGAACTAGGGAGCATCTGGCTTTACTTTTCTGATTCGGTAAGTGACCCCAGGGCCAGTTGCCACATTCAGGACAGGACTTGGAGGAAAACGGTGCACAGGCTTGTGTCTGCCACGGACACTTCCATTTAAATCATGTAACTCCTGTTGTCTGAATGGGCTGAGCAGACACTCAGTGCTCAAGTTGCCTCATGTCCCCCCTCTGTACTGTGGCATTTCCGTTCTGCTACTCTAATGGCATGTTTGAGGTAACCAGTTTATAGGAAGTAGTTTATCTGATGTCACCTGTTGGAGGTCTCAGTACTCAACCAGTTGGTGTCATTACTCTGTGCCTGTTGTCAAACAGTGCATGATGCTAACAGCATGTGCCAGAGATATCACCCCATGGCAGGAAAGCAAACAGGAGCCAAAGGAGGCAGTGTGGGACCCACAGTCCCCTTTATGAATAGGCCCAACAATGACCTACAGGCCTTCATTTCATCTAATCTCCCCACCGTCCCATTCCAATAGCAGCACCCTGGGAACCATGCCTTTCTACAGGGTCTTTGAGGGACATGTACATTTCCAACATTAACTGAGCAGGTGCTCTAATGCAGACTGTGTGCTCTAGGAGACTTAAGATAACCTTTGAGCCCACAGTGTTACACAGGAAGGTGCAAAAGTAGTTGTCAAATCGGTCACTGAAAGGTAAGGTGGCTAGGCCCCCAAAAGGACCTTCAAACCCCTTGATTTAGTAACTATTGTTTTCTGCCATTGTTGTTATTAACGGACCTAGCTATTGCGATGCAAGAGGCTGCCAAAGGTGTAGGTACCTTATAGGCACCTGAGGCCCAGTGACCAGGAATGCAGGGCATGATGAGGGGCATGATGGGGCAAGCAGAACTACCAGTTCTGACATTGTTTCTCCTGCTGGCGGGAGAGCTGTGACTCTGCTGATGAAACTATTTCCTTTTTTTTTCTTTAGCTTTTGCACTTTCCAACCAAGCTTGAAAGGGAAAGGCAATGCAGAGGACCTCTTCGACCTAAGGTAATGTTGGGGCACAGAGCATGCTTTGTCTTCATTCTCCCACTCTGGAGCCATGCAAAGGGCACAGTCATTTGTTTGCAATTTTTTTCCCAATATACTCAGGCTTGAATGGCAAGTATACCCTACCCTAGAAGGGTGAGACTTAGGTCCCAGACCTAAGACACTTCATTATGTATATGCAAATATTCAAAATTCCTTAACTGCCTGAAATTCGAACATTTCTGATTCTAAGGATTTTGGATAAGCGATACTCAATATAATGAGTATTATTATGTGGTCATTATTATTATGTGGGTCATCTTGCTCTGGAGAATGGTTTTCTTCTCCCAAACTTAGCAGCACCTCTTCTGCAAGGACCCGGCTCCTTGGAAGGCCAATCTAAGATCAATTTTTTTTTCTTTCTGTTGAGAATGAGAATAAGAAGGTGGGGACTGGTTTTATCCAGATGTACAGGCAGTCTGTTGTCATCCCAGAAATAGTATTCAGAAAATTGTATTAAGAATGGACGGTTTGATCAATTTATTCAAAATATTGATAGCTTGTGATATGATATCTGATACTCAACAAAGTGACAAGCAAAACCACCCCAGACTCTTTTATCCTCGTTGAGTTTATTGTATTCTCAAAAGGATACACATCTCAGTTTAGTCTGAGAAACACAATTGGGAGTGGTGAGGGAAGGCTTAGTAAGGAAAAATGAACAAATTAAGCTTGGTCAGTGATGGATCTATCATACAGGGGGCCAGGAGGGAAACTTTCTGGAATTTGGGGGTGGAAGTGAAGCCCTAAGGGAGCTCGGCTAGCCTGGCAAAGGCTGCTGCATATGGTGTGTAAGGATCTACTGAAAACAGATAAGCTTAATGGTGAGTTTGTGAAGATTTTTTGAACCGGAATCTTTGTAATGATATTATTTCTATGAATAACTGGGGTTAGGTTCAGCAGAGGAAGGAAGGACCTGACTTGTCTTTGAGAAGAATTACCTTGGCAATTGGGTCTGGAATAGAGCATAGTAGGTCAAGGGCAAAAGTAGAGATTGCCTTGGAGCCCACTGCAGAGACCCAGGAGACCAATGCTGATAGTGGTCATACTGTGGACACATGCTGATGGTGCAGTAACGGAATCTGATGACCAATGTGAGGGGTTCATGAGACAGAAGGAAGACTTAGAGGAGGAAGGTTTAATACTGAGTCATTGGGAAACATTGTGGGGACAGCCAGAATGAGCTTCAGTGGGTGCTACGTATTGCAAGCTTTATTTGGTACATGTGAATTTAGAGATGCCTGCCACGCTTTCAGGAGGGGTCCAGGGCACATCGTGTAGACCATCAGAAATGACAAACTGTGAGTTTAAGGAGAAGGTCCTGATGAGACATAATTTGTAGTATTTAAACCAGGAGGGTGAAATCAGGATGTGAATGCATGCATGTGGAGAAGAGTGGAGAGCTCTGCCTTGGACACACAGGGGATGGCAGGGAGAAAGCCCATAGGGATGATCCCACTAGGAGTGGAGAAGGAAGAGACAGAGACTAGCCCAGACTGTGGGTGTGGGGAAGCTCCTAGAAGTCTTTTGGGTGCTTCAAGGTAGGAGTGGTCAGACATTATCAATAGACCAAACAGGATAAGAACCGAGGTGTGACCTCCGATCTCGGCAACATGGAGTCATTGACAGCTTTAATGACTGCTGGCAAAGGCAGGAAGGACATTAGTTCTTTCACTAGCCAAGTGGGAAGTCAAGGAGAGTCAGGGCACTGTGCAGGACACTGCTGTGGGTCAATGGTGGTGAGGTGGCTGTTTGCCAACTCTAATGGACATAGTTCAATAGCTGATGAAGCTAAGCCTGAAGTGTTCGGGTCCACTGATATCACTCTTGGACATCTTACATTGTTCTCATGAAAGGCTAATTATCTTCACTTAGAGCTCTCAGGTCATTTCATGGCAAGCTGTCAGCCACCCATATAAATGAATAGAAGTAAAAACAAGGACCCATTACCTCATGTGCCTGAAGAAAACAAAACAAAAATCCAGCTCATCATCATGTGTGGATGCCTCTCTGAGCTCTTGAAAGTCAGCTGGAAGCTTGGCTGTTCTCCAAGTGAGGACTTCCCTTGGGCCGGTTCTATTCTAGACAGGATTTAAGAATACTTTCACATCTATGCTTTCAGTACTTTATGGCCAAAGGAAGTCCACTTCAGAGCACACACCATATACTGATTATTTTAGCAAACTATCCACAATTTTTTCATTTTCTTAACTTGTGTTACATGCTCCTCTGGGAACCAATCAAATTATTTCATTGGTCAGATCAGGGCAGCATGCTCTTAGAAAGGTATCATATGAAGCACTAGGGGATCCCATACTTCTTAGGCTATTGTCCTCAGACTCTTAAAGGGCTCTACCCCAGCAATGCAAACCCTCTACCTATCTTAGTTTCTAGACCAGTTAGAGAGAAGGCAGACAGAGAAGGGGTAGGCAGAAGAATATAGAGGATGAACTGGCTGTGCCCACCAGGTTGGGGATCCCTACAGAGGGGGCTGTCAGGTAGTAAAATGACAGTTCTCTGTGATGGGTCAAATGTTCAGAAACTTCTCGCTGGACCTTGTACTGGCACCTGTATGGAACAGCTGCTTTTAGTTCCGCTGCGATGATTTTTCACAATGTGACAGGATCTGCCTGGGTCATTCTGTGTCATGTCTGGCATAGTTCCAGCATAGCCCCAAGCATGAAGACTTCTGTAGAAACCTTCTGTTGTCCACTAGGAACAGTTTATAGTGCTCTAGAGTTTATAATAAAACTCAATTTAAACACAATGTTCTATCACTGAGGGGTTTCTCTTCGTTTCCTTTATAAATTCTTCTTGAAAATAATAAAAGACAAGGAACTTAAAATGTCAGTGATAAGAAGTTATGTAATTCCTACAAAATGGTGATCTTCTGTGACCAGTTATGGTGCAAAGGGACAATCTTAGCAGCCTGGAGCTCAACATCAAGTTCCCTTCTCATCCCACTTCCACCTTAAGTTTCCCTCCTCAGAGATCAGTAGAACTGGCTCAGGGGCTAATATCCGTAATATACATGATTATTTTAGTAAAGCTCATTTCAGCTTCTCCCTGAATGGAGCAATATGGTTTCTGGGTTTCTTGATGATATAAAGCCCCAAGAGGTCCATGATGGAAGATGAAGCAATCCATCCCTCTCAGCCCAGGGAACAACAGTTGTAACCAGAAGTAAAATAAATGCTGACACAAACTCAAAATGAGTGTGACAACCAATACTCCCGCATTCAGGAGCTTCTAACACATTCTTGCAACTCCATGGAATTGGGGAACAGATGTGTGAAGGTCCAGGGATGGTGGGAAGCAGCCTACTGATTTATTTACCCCAGATGATACCACTGCCCAAAAAACCTAGAACACAGACACAGAAGCCATGTATATTTTTAATCAAATGTCTTAGGATCTGCAAGGATACAATAAACAATGAGTATTTGAATTCACTGGGCTGAAGGTAAAGTGCTTTCCTGCTTTAAATACCTCAACTGTGTGGCGTGGCTGAAGAGTTATAGCTCAGGGCTTACTGGGTATGCTAGAGTCAAATATTAACCATGCCACAGTGACTTGTAAGTTTGTACTGGAAAGATGTACAAAGATCTGCCTATTATTGAGTCTAGGTTGTACACTTTTTTTAAAGAAACATCCTTAACTTGTTTATTTTATTTTTTACAATTTATTTATTATATGTCCCGATTGAAGCCCACCTCCCTCAACTACTCCCAGTCCCATCCTCCCTTCCCCCCATCCCTTTTCCCTAGTCCAATGAAAGGGGAGTTCTCTTCCTCTGCCATCTGCCCATAGCTTATCAAGTCTCCTCAGGACTGCCTGGATCCTCTTCCTCTTTGGCCTGGCAAGGCCGCATCACCAGGGGCAAGTGATCAAAGAGCAGTCAACTGAGTTCACGGAAGAGGGAGCCTCTGCAACCCTTACTCAGGAACTCACATGGAGAATGAGCTGTCAATTGGCTACATCTAGTAAGGGGTGTCTAGGTCCTCTCCATGCATGGTCTTTGATTGGTGCATCAGTGTCTGCAGGATGCCCTAGGCTCAGAATTTTTTTTTAGCATTTTTGGTCTCCTTGTAGGGCTCCAGTCCTCTCTGTGTCCTTCTATCCCTTCCTTCTTCCATAAGACTCCCTGCGCTCTGCCCAAAGTTTGGCTGTGAGTCTCAACATCTGCTTCAATCCCGTTGGCTGTAGCCTTTCAGAGGACCCTCTATAATAGGCTCCCATCCTGTTCTCTGTCCTAGATTCACAGGAAGGTGCAAAACAGTAGAGTTACATGCTTCATTTATGCCCCACCCATGGAAGCAGGCAGTTTAACCACTGAAATATTAAAACCAGGGCTATTGCATGTCTACACCTTTTTTCACTGTAGATTCACGTAAGTGCCACTGCAATCCTCAGGCACAATCTCTTGATCATTACAAAGACAGCTCTTGTACTGCCACTTCACTATCAGACCCACTCCTGAAATGTCTGCTGTTATTGGCTACTGGCAACTGCTGACCTGCCTTTCACCAATTTCATTTTATCATTTAAAGACAGTTCTAAGTTTTTATTTATTTATTTATTACAATTTATTCACTTTGTAGCCCAGCTGTAGCCCCCTCCCTTTTCCCCTCCCAATCCCATCCTCCCTCCCTCTTCTTCTATGGCCCTCCCCCAGTCCACTGATAAGGGAGGTCCTCCTCCCTTCCATCTGACCCTAGTCTATCTAGTCTCATCAGGACTGGCTGCATTGTCTTCCTCTCTCAGGGGGAGGTGATCAAAGAGCCAGCCCCTGAATTCATGTCAGAGACAGTCCCGGTTCCCATTACTAGGGAAGCCACTTGGACACTGAGCTGCCATGGGCTACATCTGTGCAGGGATTCTAGGTCATGACGTGTGTAGTATTTGGAGACTGGCCCTGTAAAGACTAAAGTAGTACCAGTAATATGTGTCCAAGTTGTTGCATGTTCACATAGTATGTTTCTTTTTAGTGCTGACTAACACTCCATGTATGATGTCATACCAGAGTTTGTTCAGCCATTTGATTGTTCTAGTTTGAAACTACTACAAATAAAATTGACCATTTACATTTAGTGTAATGTAAGAATACAAGTTGGCCATTTTAATTTTTGTCTGTGATGTCCTTGTTTACTTCTGATTTTTTGTTTTGTTTTTGCTGCCTTTTTGTGTACAACTAAGTGAATGGTTAAATTCTACTTTGATTTGTCAATAGTGTGAGTGTATTTCTCTATGTGCATATATTTTTGTTTTGTATCCTTGATGTATATAACTATAATGCATGTATTTTTCACAAGTTACTGGTGATGAGATTGTACCATTTTGAGTGACATGCGGGGGCCAAAAGACTTTTAAGTCTTGTCTATTAATGTGTATCTATACTTTTCTTAAGTATTCTCTTTACACGCATGCAGAAAACCACATTAAATATCTTTCAAAGGCATTTCACAAATAGATAGCCTAAAACCAAGAGAAACAAAGTAAAAGTTATAAAGTAATTTAGTGACTAGGACACTACCGGAGAAGCCTGTCTTCCAGAATGTTCACTGTGCCACTCTGTCTTCTAATCTGGGACTTTTCCTCTTCCGAATCGCTTATTTCTCTTAGCTGATTCTCTTCATATGTTTTGCCATAAGCTACTCTAGGAGATGCTTGAGCGCAACCTGAGGAATGGAGACATAAGAGACTAAGGCAACTGCTCTGGGCCACCAGGGCAAAACACAGGTCATACTGAGGTCAAACCAGGGTCACCCAGGCTGTACCTGGCTCTCAGAAATGGGCACTACTGTCACTGAGGATAATTTCTGTTCTCCTTGAAGAAACAGAAACCCATGGCTTTGTGTCAAGTATTTCTAGGCTTAGTGCAACTTCCAGGGAATAAACATGGCAGTGGCATTTCATAGCAGGAAAGAACATCAATATTAAATAAGATGCAGAAGATGACTGTTAAGAGCTCCATCTCTCCAGTCTGTGCTCTGTCTGGTAGCCAGCATTTCCTAGCTAAAAATGGGTCTAACTGGAGTGCCTTGCCAGACAAATTAAAGATGTCTGCCTGCTTGGTTTTCAATCCTGAAGAAGTCCAGTATACTTAAACCCTTTTCTAAGACACAGGAAAAAGCAAAAGTGTAGGAGGCACCTACAGTGAGGATGAAAAGAAGTGTCATTGTGTATGCCAGCCAGTCAGAAGGCTGTCAATCTGGGAGGTGGTTCTGAGAACCAGAGATGATCATACTGAGAGGGTTAGTTTGAGTGGGGATGAGGACAGCAGAGAGAGCAGAGGGAGGGATCAAGACACAGACCCTTCCTGGCATGGGCTGCAGCTGCAATATTTTCCTTAACTTCTTTTCTTTGCTGACTTCTATGGATGCCTAGAAAATGTTAATACACATTCTACAGGGAAGGTGCTTTAGGAGGAGTAGCTCAAGTACACAGCACCCACAAACTGGCTGCTGTTCTCTCTAGGTCTTGTAAGGACCCTGAAATGCCTGCCTCAGAGAGGAAGAGCCTGTAGTCGTGAGCGTGGCTCGATAATGGACTTGTTTAGGAGTCCACACACTAACTGGGGTACTAGAGGTTGAGATCCCTGTAGAAATCCTCATGCTTAGAATGAAAATGGTACGTCCTGAAAGCCTTGGCTAAAACACTGAATTCACCCAAGACCTCAGAAAGGTACGAGACAAGTAGCTCAGGGACTCCAACCAGCCACTTCTAGAACACAGGTGCATCATCAGGTGCACTTTCAATTGCTTGTGCCACTCAGTTCCACAAGGGTGAAGTAATTATCCACAGTTCTCCAGTGAGCTCAGAAGAAAATTGACATTTTGGGTTCTCATGCAGGCCACAACAAAGATGTCCTAACACCAGACCTCTTCTGTCTTTGCATACTAGCATCAAAAACACAAACAACAACAACAAAAATTCAAATTTCCTTGTCAAGCAGTTTCAAGAAGAACCCCAGATTTGGGTTCAAAAAAGAACTACAGAAGCCTCACAAGGGGATCTCAAAATGGCTAAAAACCACAATGGAGGAAGGAGCAAAAGAATGAAACCCCAGTGAGCACAGGTGGGAAAAAGCTATGTCTGTCATTTCCAAAACATTCCCTTTTAAAATTTGGATTAATCAATCTTGCTTTTTAATTTTGGCTGCCATCTAATTTAGCAACCCTCCTGCCTTCGTCTCTCAAGTCCTGGGACTGCAGAAATGCTCAGCTTTTTTCATTTTATCACAAGCTAGCAAAAAGTGGTGTCGATGATGACTAAAGGGAAAGAAAGAAAAAAAGAAAGGAAGTGAGGGAGGAAGGATGGAGGAAGAGAGAGAGAGAGAGAGAGAGAGGAAGAGAGGGAGAGAGGAAGAAAGCAAACAGGAACTGTCCTTATCTCTGCTTTCACCTATGGCCACTGAGCCACACACGGCAGCCTTAGAAGCTTCCCATCTGAAAAGCAGAACCATATGCTGTGAGGTCTGACAAATTTGTTACCAGACCTACCAACGATAGATAAGACCTGGTTAGTGAATTTCTTTAGAGTTGTGCCTAAAACATGGAAAAGAGAATTCTAAGTGTCTTTCTTCCCCATGGCAGAATTAGGACTTGTAGAGAAAAAGAAACAGCTTGGAGTGGGTGCCCTTAATCCAAGCACTTGATGGGGGGCGGGGAGGCAGGCTGATCTCTGCCAGAAGACTGTCCTTGATAAAAGACAGAAAGGACAAATCTAATAAGGAGAGGGCACCACACCGAGATCCCTGATGGGGCGGGTATTAGGAGTCAGGACGTCAACAACAACAGCCCACACCAGAGCTCAACATCTTCAGACATCAGTTCTCCAGATGTTAGAGGTGCAGGGCTGGACTAAAGGATGCCCAGTGCTTCTTGCTGCCTTATTCTCTGGCTATTGTCCTGGTCTACACAGAGAATTCCTAGCCAGCCTAGGCTATACAGTAAATCCTTGTCTAGGAAAAGAGGAGAGAAAAGAAAACAAAACATAGGAAATACATCCATACAGACTTAGCTGTGGGCTCCATCAGCAGACCTGAGACTATCTTTCTCAGGAGATCAAGGCCTGCTTGATTGACCATTTTCACTCCTGACAGATATTTCCTGTAGGGATCCTCCTGCCTAGGGCCCTGTTACAGTCATACACATCTCAGATATGAAACTAGCCTCATCTTTAGATGGGCTTAATAAATCACCTGCAATATTAAAGAAGGAGAAGGATATAAAGAGAAGTAGCCACATTGAGGAGAATGTGATATATCTTGCAGATGGATACAGATTGTACACTCTACTTGATGGCATGTGTCACAAATATTTTAAAACAGACCCTTGAACACACGATTTTCAGTGATTGAGGGACTGCCAGAAAATAATCTGAACCGCGTGACAATTTGTTAGTCATCCAGATACTCATCACAGATCTACTTCCATTAGTACAAAATTGGAAACAATTTGAATGCCCAGAGGAATGTATAGCTATGCATATCATGAGAAAAACTGTCTTGAAGATGTTTACAATGTTGGCTCTAAAGACCATGTGACAACATGGGTTTCAAAAGAGGGTAGAAATGACATGAATACTCTAACTTTAGCCATGTGGAAACATACACAGAGAAAAATAACTAGGAAGAAAATATGCCACTGGCTTATACCATAGAACGGTAGACATGGTAAGCTACTTTAGTTAAAACTAGGCTGTGCTTTGGTCTCTTTTGTAATGAAAAATATTTAATAACTGGGGGAAACTACAATGGAGATTTTGAATCTAGATTATTCTGAAATTTTAGAAGTGTAATATGGAGCATTACAAGCTAAACTTCATGAAATGAACAGGAGGAGCTAGAAGATAAGGCGCTGCTGGCTGTCATTTATAGTGTGAGGAAAAATCGAGCCAGTCCCCCGCACGGAGGCCTCCGGGAGCTGCTCACTGGCCACTGGCTGCATAGCTTACCACACACTCAGCCAACTCAGGAGAAAGGCATATGGAGGTGCGAGTGAAAGGGACACTATAGGTGTGAGGGCTGCTTTACAGTGACAGGAACATGGTCTCCACCATTGCTACTTGTAGTCTGATTCCTGACTCTGCCCACAGCACTCCTTCAGCTGCGCACCAGGCTTGCCTTCCTGGAGGAACCAATATCTGCTGAGTGACTATTCCCTGCTGCCTGGCTCAGATGCCCACAGGTTCTAGCATTCAGCTTTTCCAGATGAAGAAAACAGACAGAAAGGAGCAAGGAACCCCAGGGAGGTAGCAAGAGAGGCAGAGATGCCATCAGCCTTCCTCTGTCCAAGTCCAGATTTTTTGGATTTTTACCTATGCCAGCCCAGCTCTATGAAAGCAAATGCCCAAGAGTAAATTTCCTGAGAATGACTGTCTTGTAAAGTTCCTGACTTCTAACTTCCTTGGGTCAGAATGTCCTGCCCATCTTCATTCAGTTTGACCTCTCTTCCAGCTTGCACAATGCCAGCTAAGCTTTTCTTCTCTGCACCTACCGCGATGATATCCTCTCTCTTCCTAAGGGTCTCAAAAGGGACTGGGCATGCTCACAATCAATCAGGGTCTTTCAGGAAAACTCCTGGGGCAACAGTGCAAATGTAGCTGAAAGCGCTGCTTCTGGCTACTTCCTGATCATATTTAGTGGTAACACCTCTCCATCTCTGGGCTCTTACTGTCCTACAAACCCACGCTCTCAGATTGCTGCCTCTAAGGCCTAGATCCAAAATTTTTCCATAGAATGAGTACTACATTTGGGAGCTGGCAATGTATCCCCAAGTGCCAGTGACAGGAAGAGTATGTTGGTAGCATTGGTCTCCTGGGCCATGGTGGGCACCAGGAGAGTTCAGGACAGAAATGAGGACAGATGGATGAGGGTCCTTTCTTGGTTCCCTGTGCTTGCATGTATGGGTATGTGCATTCAGAAAAGAAGTGAACTGTGTAGAACAGAATGGCAAGAAACCAAAGCCCTACAATCAACCAAACCATAGTCCAAGAAGTAGAGAATGCTGTTTTATGTATGGCTTGGATGGAAAGGCTCTTATAGTAACACAGGAACCCTCTCTTTTCGGTGTAACCCACTTCCTTCTTCTCCCTCATTTCCCCCTCCTGCCTCAGGGTCAGGGTCCCAGGTCACCTCCATTCTTCCTGGGAATCCTTGGCCATTGAGTTAGGTGAAACCAAATTGGAAAAGATGGCCTTTCTTGGTGCAGAGGGGGCCATGCTCCTGATTTTGTTCAACTTGTCCCTGGCATATTGGCATTTATGCAGGCAAGATGCACACAGGTCCTTCTCTTCCACCAGATAGAGGTTTTCTAGCCTTTTGATGGAGTCTACGAATACTTCTGATTCACCTCCCTTTGGAAAAGGGTTCCTCTTTATGTTGAGCTTCCTCAGCTTGGGGAGCTTGGTGACTCCGGCAGGGATGGAACTCAGCAGGTTGTCATGTAGCCCTACCTCATGGAGATCCTTCAGTGCCCCCAGTGTGGTGGGCACCCTGTCCAGGTGGTTGAGACCCAGGTTGATGGTGCGGATGTTCTTGAGCTGGTTCAACTCCACAGGCAGCCCATTGGTGGTCAGTTTGTTGTTGCTGACGTTGAGGTAGAGCAGGGTGGTCATCTGGCCAATGGATTCTGGAAGCTTGTCAATGTAGTTGCTGTGCAGGTCTAGCCATCGCAGGTTCTGGAACTTGGAGATGGAGTCAGGGATTTTCCTAATCATATTCCGGCTAAGGTCTAGCTCATCTATCTCAGTGAGGCGTAAGATACACTTGGGGAAGGTGGTGATTCCCATCTTGCTCAGATCGAGGCGTTTTCTCCCATCAAATGTCATTTTGATGCAATTCTTGGCCACATTGAGGGTGATCTTTTTGCCCTTGGGGCCTTTCCCGCCCTTGGCCATGGTCTCTTAAGTGTGGGAGTGTATTTGAAGAATGTTTTTCAGAGTCGATGTTGATGAACTTGAGGAAGAAGTCACAAGAAACTGCTAGAAGGGAGGTTCTGATACGAACAGAAGAGACAACTCTAGTTCGCAGAGGGCAGCACACTATACTGTGATCCCTGATAGTCTAGAGGGAAACAAGACAAAACAGGGTGGCAGAGGGGAGTCAGGGCGGCTGGACCATCAGCCACACCTGAGGTCTTCAACAGTTCTCATCTCTTCAGAAAGTCATCTCCCAGATGTTAGAGGTGCAGGGCTGATGGATGCTCAGTGCTTCGCTCACTGGCTCACTCTCTGGCTACTGTCCTGGGAGTTAGCCTTCTGACTCCGGGTTGTGTGTGTGTGGGGGGGTGCACATGTGTGCCTGCATGAGTGCACACACCCATGTATGTGTTCGTGTACTCGGTTATGTGTGACTTCACAGACTCTCACATCTAGAATCTCCTTAGCATTGTCAAAAGACCATCCTGGGGAGGGAGGGGCTGCTGTTGTCAGAGCCTGGATGGAGGAAATAGAACGAGTGTTAAAAATGACTATCGCATCGCTTTCACGTTTGGGACCCAGAAGAGCTCTAGCAGCCTTGGTTACTCTAACTACTCAGTGATGAGAACAGTACAGGGTTTGTCTTCACAGCAGTGTTCAGAATTCCGTTCCTCTCCCCAGGTGTGGGGAAGTCAGGGTGGACCTGACAAACTTCTGGGGAATGCTCTTTCCTCTCCCCTGCCCCCCAGCCTCTCCCACTTCCCTCATGCTGACATCAACTATAGACTGTGCTACATGAACAGATATGGTGACAGGCACAAAGAGCACCGCACAGAGCCCTAAAATGTAGACGGTGACAGAAGATTCTGACCCCAGCGTGCTTGTCTTAGAAGTCTAGTTCTGCAGAGAGCAATTTTCTTAAACTCTCTGCCTCAGTCTCCCTATTTGCGGAAACAGCAGCTTTATGGAGCTCCCTCTGCAGTGTAGACCATTTCATACTGCATAGCGCTCGTGACCAGGGTTTGTAAACATTAGTTACTAAGAACCTATAGTGTTTCCATTCTTCAAACAGCCCCAGGGCAGTTCCTGCTGTTCAGAGAGGGAGACTGAAGCTTGGAAGTAAGGAGGGTCTACAGCTAGGAAGAAGCGGGCTCTAGAGCAGTGGCTCTCAGTCATCCCAAAGCTGCGGCCCACTGACACAGCTCCTCATGTTTTCATGACCCCCAACCATAAACTTATTTTCTTGCTACTTCATAACTGTAGTTTTGTTACTGTTGTGACTAGTAATGTAAATATCTGGCATGCAGAGTATTTGGTATGCGACCCCAGAGGGATTGAGGCCCCCAGGTTGAGAACCAGTGCTCTAGTCAGCAATGGGACAGCACACTCATAGATAATTCACAGTCTGAACAAAAGTGAAAGCAAATCAACACCTGTGGCATGAAAGCAAATTAGTGAATCAAGGCAAATTTGCAGCCTTATGTTCTCTTGTTAGGAAGAAAAACCTGGGCAGGCAGAGAGACTGTTCAGCTCTTAAGAGCACTTCCTGCTACAACCTGCACAGGCTCAGCTCTCAGTGCCAAGTTTAGGCAACTTACAGCCCCCTGTAACCCTAGCTCCAGGGATCCAGTGCCCTCTTCTGACCTCTACACTGAGGTGCACACACAGCCATAGACATACGCACATAATTTAAATCAAGCATTTTCTTAAAAACAAAGACAGAAGAGAATTCCATCTTGACCCGAGGTATATGAATAAGGCAAAAGTTTGATTGTACCTATCAGTATAATGTTGTAAATTGTAGGCAGTGAAATAATGCAAGGAAATAAAAGGCATGCGATTAGAAAAGAACGAAGTGAAGACGTCTGTATGCACAGGTGACCTGACTGTCCACAGAGAGACTAACACAAAAGTTTTAGACCATTCTTTAAACTGATAACTGACATTAACAAGATTAAACATAAGATTACATATACAAGGTTATATAAACATGATTACCTATGCATAAACATACAACCCCCAACACACACACACACACACACACACACACACACACACACACACACGTCTACAAGTAATGATTGGAAGCTAAAACTTGAAAAAAATTCCCAAAAGGAAAATGCATGCATATTTTAGATATCTAATAATAAGGACTTCTATGATGAAAATTATGATACACTGACTTAAAACTAATATCTAAAGAAATGGGAAAACATAGCACACATGAATTAGAACACCCAATATGGTTTCTCCTGAAATTGGTCAAAATACCGTGATTATCATTTTGTGCTTAATGGTTTATCCACAGAGCAAAATTTTTAATTTTTCAAGCCCATTTTTAAAAACATTATCATTTGAAGAAATGTACTTTTGCCAAACTACAGGTCATAAAATTTTTCTCTAGTTTCTTCTAAAAGTTTTATAGCTTACATTCATATCCTTGATCTACTTTAAGTTAATATTAGTTATTTTCATTAAGCTGTTAATGGTTTATTTAGTTTCGTTTTTAAACATATGGATGCTCTGCGGACAAATCGTTAAGCACAAGAAGATAAAACCGAGAATGGAAAATGTTGATCAGTCATGCAGGCAAGAAGGCCTGGCATCAGAACAGACGAAGGCCTGTGATGAAAAAACACAAAACCAACAGCACAAAGACGGAGTGAGCATCCAGCGTCGTGGAATGCACGGTAGTGCAACCCCAGAACACTTCTGCTATACCTTGTAAAATTAACCACCTTCTCATCAGAAGATGGTAGTCTCCCCCAGCAGGTCGTTTACTCCAGGGGAAAAAAAAAACCTTACGTTCATATGAAAGCTTATTCTGGTGTTTATCAATGCTCCATTCAGAACTGTCCCAAAGGGGAAGGTACATCCTTCAGGAGATGGATTCCTTACACTAGACTACTGCTGAGCATAAAGAGATTGGTTGTGCTTACTACCTCTGTCTGTTATACTTTGTGTGTTTGCACTGAAATGGCATACCTCATCCCACAAATACCTACACTCGTGATGTGTCAGTGACAAATAAAAATGCAATTTGTAATAAAAGTTTGTAAAAAGAACACATTTGCTCATATGTACAACCACAGAAGTGACTCCTAAGAGCTGCCTGCCTGGAAGAAGTCACTAGAATGGTCTGCATGATGAGTGAATGCATTTATGTAGCTTCAGAAAACGGATCCACTGGGGCAGGGAACATGGGCTGGGAACCCTAAGTTACCAGGAAGCAGTGTGTGTGTTTTCTGAAGATGGCGGAACTGTCTGGACCCTGCCTTGGGGACAGTTACATGGCTCTATGTATACTTAAAGCCCAGAGACTTGCATCCCCGAAGGGGAGATGCTATGGTAGCTACATTTTAAGATGATTCTTTTTGAACTTGAAACTAATTGGAACTCTATGGTCAGTCTCTGTTACTTTCTCCCTGTATCTGCTTGTTCAGCCTAGACTGGGCATCTAGCACAGTTTCATGTGTGTGTGCAAGAGCCCCGTTCTGTTCCTCAAAGAGCAGATGGCTGTGCAGCATCTGGGATTTGCTGTGAACATAGAGAAGAGGTGTTCACTTGAGTTAAAAGAAAAAAGTTGAATTCAACTCAGGAAACCCTATATACTTATGATCATCTGTTTATCCATGTCTCTCCATGGTAGAGTGTCCAGATATATAGCAAATAGAATGAAGAGTTACTAGTAAAACTCAAGTTTTAGGCAAACAGGAGATAAATGTTAATTCGAATGTCTCAACTCTTGTGTAGTCCTGTAGTTGGAAGCTATTGCCTAGGGCCTGAACAAGTAGTAAATAAGATTGCCTTTGTGTGAGGACCAAGTTAAACCAAGTCCCTTTGTTTGTTCTTGCCTGAACCCATCTGTTTACTCATTAGTGTACGGGGCCTGCCCAGTGGCCTCTGAATGACACAGGACATAAACGAGCCTGCTCCTCAAGTCTAACCAGCTAGAATCCAGAGGTTACTAACCCTGGCCACCAGACTGCCCTGCATACTCAAAGGTTACCTACCATTTGGTTTTCTTCTATTTCAGATAAATTCAAGCATGGGTTAAAGGGCTTCTGGATGGGAAAGGATGCTTCCATTAGACTGAGATCCAGTGAGACCAGCTGAATCTGTTCCCACAGCCCACCCATGCTGTGAGAAGAAGCCCTACCAGGTCTGAGTAGTGGAAGCAAGGAAACACTGAGGAACTGGCTATAGCACACTGTTCCATTAAGGAGCCTTTCCCCAATGGGCCCTTTGGCTCTGCGCCTGATCATTAATCAACTTAAGGCAGAGTAGGGGGTTGGTTGGGCTAATGCACTTTGCCACTTCCCCAGTGAGCCTGGATCCCCAGACAGATCAAGCCAGGTGAGAGCATGAGGACTCCCCTTCCCTTAATGCATCTCCTCAAGGTCACCCTTCGGTAGCTGGGATCATCACTTGTGGAAGGACTGGTGAGCTGTGTTGATAAGAAACCCTTTTGATCCCCTAAGCTGCTTAGCACCACTGAAATCAGGCAGTGCCATGGCTCTACTTTAGAAGCAGAGAAATCAGGGACCTCTTCTCTAATGGGTAGATGGAATACCCATGGAATAGGAGAATAAACACTGACAGTAGAAAAGTAAAACAGATGCTCTTTCCACACAATCAAAACTTGTCAATTAGACTGTTCTTATAAATTCATAGAAGCCTTCAAATATCATAGTGTGCAACTCACACAAGAGAAGCCCACAGTCACAGGGAGAAATATATATAAAAATAACAGATAGATACGCTATGGATGGGGGAGATGGAGGGAGGGAGAAATGGGTGTGTCATAGATTTCATTGCACCTGCATGGACTGGAAATCCCAGTATAAGAGGGTTCTGAGTGAGTCCTGTTTCCTTGTCCTCTATAGTTGTGCTTTCTACTTGGGGGAAAAGTGGGGCAGTTGGTCTCATTTTAATTTCTGAATAATTTTTCTATCTAGTCATTGTGAATGAAACAGCAT